TGTTCACTTAGACGTGTACCAGTAAGGATCGTCGTTTAATAGTTACCAAGTTTGTACCTCTGACACACACAACATACACACAACATACAGCATACATGCACAGATGCATACATATATACATGCATTGATACATACATATATACATACACATACGTACATACAAACATATACTGAAAGGAACGACAGGACGCTAACCGATCACGTAGACGGCTTCTCCCTAGCCGCTCGTACACAATTCACGTCACACGGTACTGATGGAACACAACACACACATACTCTTTTTCTCTCTCTTTCTCTATCTCTTTCTTTCTCTCTTTCTCTCTCTCTCACTGTCACTCTTACTCTGTCTCTGTCTCTATCTCTAAAGACTGCATCGGATCAACAAGTATTACCCTATCTTGTCGTGTGCTCGATCGCATCGCGGCAGACGCGATACTTGAAACCTATATTAATTGGAGAACAGAGGAGGAAGGGTTGTGTCCATACGATCGTACTACGGAAGGAAAGGGAAAGAAATACTTCGGGATCGATGCAACGTATCGAGGCGATTCAGGATTCGAATGTCGGGGAATTATGTACATTTCATTCCCATTCTATCTGTTCTTATACCTAGACACATTACTCGGGGAGCCTGTGTAATTACCGGCTAAACGACGGCGTTCCCGTTAATTCGATTAATTAAATTATTTTGGACACGGTCCCTTCCGGTTCACCGGGGGGAACGTCAATACTGTTACAGTATCGTTGCGTTATGTTTTTTTTCTTCTTTTTCTTCGTACAGTCGAAGAAGAGTTTTTATTGATATGTATATATATATATATTATATATATCATATATATATATATGTATGCATATATGTATTATACGTACGTATATGCGTTTTATATATTATAGCTTATTGTGGAAATATTAGCTTAATTAACAGCGGGAAGATTTCTAGAACGGAGATGCACGTTTTAAATGATCCCGATGGTCGGTGTGTTTCTACGATGATAATTCCGTGGCCGAGTACGGCGGTACGGCTAGGCGAATTTTACGGTGCATAGGGCAAAGAGCACGACAGGCAAGTTAGAGCAATTACTAGCGTATCTATGTTACTAATTTGTAAAACAGAGGAACAGTAACTATTTTCTACGAGAACGTGGCATTTAAGTTAGATTTTTCGAGTAAATGTTGAAACGACAGCAAACGGAAGACAACAGAAACCATAGGCGGCGGCGTGGGGTTTGGGGGTTTATGGGTTATTTATGGGGGGCGTGGATATTGTCATAGTTTCTCGGAATATCCGCTGTCCCGTCTAATCTCCGTCTAACGATGCCCGAGAGTAGAAAGCCAACCATCTCTGTTACATTTAAAACAGGACGATTATTCCTAACTCCCATGTTCCTAAGTTAACGAGGTTGCTCTTTGCTAAGTTAACGCGAAAGTATTACGATGAATAATAATTATACTATACATATGGATATGTATACATATAATAATATTTGTGTAGCGCACAATTAACGACAACCGTTTTTATTTAAATCGTTCATAGAACGCGCACAACCAGGCTGCGCCGAACCATTCAATCGATTCTCCGTATATTATTTATATTTGTTATCGCCTATGTGATTGTTTGTTAACGAAAACAACCAAAAAAAGAAAAAACAGAAAAGAAAAGAAAAGAAAGAAAGCGTAAGAAGTTACGAAAAATAGAAAACGCTTTGCTGTGGCGCACATCGCTATATACATAAAATATATATATTATATATTTTCAACAAATGAAATGAAGAAACAAAAACCGACGGAACAGCACACACGTGTCACCACGGTTCGTTACACCGGTACACACCGTTTCTCTCGTGCGTTTATCGTTACCGTTTCATGGATAACCCGGTGAACAACCGACCGGTACCATTCGCGAATACAAAACGAACATACACAAACACACACACACACATACATACAAAAGCGAAGCAGCTCTACTTCTCGAAACGTGGACACGTTCGTGTGCCCGGCCATGCTTTCTCAACGGAGCCGTCGACAACGGTAACAGGAAGAATGGACGAACCGGAGAGCGACATTTTTCTAAACCCTTCGTAATCTTTGCCTCTTCGAATCTTTTTACTCGAGGAAGAATGGCTGGACACACTCGGGTCTTCGGCGATGTTCATGTGTGTCTTATCGGTGAATCCTGGTAACAGAACTCGACCAAAAGAAACCTATGAACCTATTTTTGTTACACGTGTTTACGATACACGTTATACACGCGCGATATACGTCTAGCATCGTGATAAAACGACGACGAAGAGGATAAAGAGGAGGAGGAGGAGGAGGAGGAGGAGGAGGAGGTGGAGGAGGAAGAGGAATGGATTGAGAAAAGGAAAAATTTCGAAGGTCGCGCGAACAACGTGCGTATTGCTAGTCACTCTTTCACGGCCGCGCGGACGGTCGCGCGCCATTTTCTCTTCGCGACGACCGCCGACGCGGTCCGGTGTAATTTTTATTACTACGGAACTATGTATTTTACTGTGCGACTGAGACTCGATTATATAAACGGTAAGCTTTCTAAATAATATCACAATCACGGGGGAAGGAGGAGGAGGAGACTAGTGCGTACGTTATACGGGGAAACGGAGCAAACCAGCGACAGGGTTCTGCCGGCGAAACGGGCGAGCGATGTTCTGTCGGTGTTAACGGATCTACAAATCGTCGAAGATTGTTTCTGTTGTGTATTAACCGTTTGCTCGAGAAGTTTTTCACCGGAAATATTCAATATTTTCGAATGAGATGCGAGGAAGAGAACTGTTTTCTTTCAATATTTCGTATATTGATGCATTGCACGAAGTTTAACCCTCTATAGGCTCGTGTAACTTTGAAGTCACGTGTCAGTATAGTGGCATCTTGTTGATTTATCTCATTTTGCACTCAAAGTGTGAATAAAATGAAGTAATCTTAAAAAATTGAGTTACGAAATATATTCGTTTGATGAAATTATTAAAACTGTTGAATATATTGTTAATCCGTATTCATATATGGATATTTACTAATTTTGTACTACATAGATTTTGTTATAATCGTGACAAAAAATTCGGTTCATTGAGGATTAATATTAAATATCAAAGTTTACAGTTTTGCTGTGTCAAATCATTTGGTGACTCACATGATTTGATTTCATACAGTGAAGCTATAAAATTTGATATTTAACAGGTTGGATGCTATGGGGGTGGACGGTGACTCGAATCGAATTATTATAGTTCAATTAAACTATTGTATGAAAACAGTTCTATATTATAAATAATACTAATACGGTGACATTCAGTTAGAACAGTAATGCAATTAAATGATTTAATATTATACATTTTCTGTTTTCCACTAACGTGCGTTCAACGTGTCAATATACTTCGTATGCATTAATTTAAGAAATGAGATATAACAGCTTCCTCTTAAAATTTCCCCATAAAATTTACGAAAATCTTTATCTCATCAACTGTTGAAACATTTCTGAAAAACATCCGAGTGCAAAGGGTTAATGCAATATTCTCACCGCGTCTTAGCTTCTTTTCTTTAAATGAACACTGATGCGCCGAGTATATATAATGACCATTTTATTGCAACGTTTATGAATTCTGTCTTTATTCAATGTATCGCGAAACGCTTTCGAAGTCCCTGAAACCGACAGCACGTACCTCGCTCGTTACTGATCGAAGGGGCGCTAACGATTCGCGGTATTTGTCAGCGAAGGTTGCGTTGTCGATCATTTTTCAAGGCCACCGTCATTGACGCGTAACGAACCTATTCTCGCTGATTTTCTTTTTTAATGGATGAACTCTCTCACACACAAACACGTACACGCACACAGACAAGATAGAGACAACAGAGTACCGCAGCGTGGAACGTCCAGTCAGAATTCTAACGACCGTGCCATGTTTTTAATTTCATCCTCCGTTTGTCGTTCCCTTCTCTCTCTCTCTCTCTCTCTCTCTCTCTGCTTTCTTTATTTCCGCGTTCCGTTCCCTGCCGATCGTCGAGCGTTCACGAATTCTGCGAATCTTTCAGCCGCGGTCTTTCAGTCTTCCACCGTGTCTCTCCAGGCTGTGATATTATTTTCGGCAGAGTGTTTCATTCCTTTCACGTAGGTCCATGTACGCGACAGAACATGTCTCTTATTACGAACAGCTTCCGAAAACACTAAAGCAGAAACCGACATGAAAGACGTAGAAGCGGAAAGAATAACGAAAACCAAGAGGAGAAAAAAAAATAGAAGAACGGGGGGAAAACCCTGGAAACCGAATACCGTTGGAATTGAAAACGCTCCGGGGGTGCGAGATCGATCGGACGTTAATTGACTGTCGATTGCATCGTTACCGACGATTAGTAGCCTCCGATCAGCGACTCGAACGTAAACGTTTAATTAGAGAAAAGGAAAACGGGAAAACGAAGCAAAAAAACGAGAAGAGGGAAGAAATAATAGACGAATAAGAGGAAGGAAATCGGGCAATTATGAGAGAGAACAGATACACGGCGTGTATCTATGATCTATATATATATATATATATACATATATATACATATGTATACATATATCACACACACAGAGACATACACATACACGCACGTATATATACATATATATGTATACAGCGGAAGACTATTCTCGCACACCGAATTGAAAAGTATATTTAGACGGAGTACTTATTTGTGCGGAGCCAACATTCGATGAATTAAGTGTAAACGCTTAAGTAGAGTTGACCCAGTTCAAGTTATATTGTATGTATCTCTAACCAAGTGTGCGGTTCCTTACATGTGTTGTGTGTTGCCCAATTCGTCTGTGTAACGCGTGTCTGTTACGAAGTGTGTTCATGTGGCTG